AAACATTTTCTTCTCTTTTTTGGTTTAAAAAAAAGCCTCTTGATTCTCCTAATTCCAACAGGACTGTCTAAACCAGCTGCAGAGTTGGCGCTGAAAAGAATGACATTGAAACAATCATGCCTCCATTTGCAGGAGATGCAAAGAGGCTGCGACGCGGGCAGGAGTGACAATAGCTTTGGAGCGCGCTGCACATCAGGCCAAAACATTTTCTTCTCTTTTTTGGTTTAAAAAAAAGCCTCTTGATTCTCCTAATTCCAACAGGACTGTCTAAACCAGCTGCAGAGTTGGCGCTGAAAAGAATGACATTGAAACAATCATGCCTCCATTTGCAGGAGATGCAAAGAGGCTGCGACGCGGGCAGGAGTGACAATAGCTTTGGAGCGCGCTGCACATCAGGCCACTCACTACGACTGCTGTCCCGGTTTGCAATGAAGGGGAGCGGAAAAATAATTAAAAAAAACCACCCGGCCACGGCTGGGGCAGAAGCCGCTCAGGGCACGTTCCCGGTGACAAGGGGAGCTGGGCTGGGACGCGCGTGTTCGAGTCTTACCTGGTGGGGAGGAGACATTAATGGCACAAGCGCCTCTCGTCTTTCGAGCACAGTTCGGAGGCGAATTCAGCGGCCTGCAGAAAGAGAGAGAAGCGGCGTTTTAAGGGATGGTTTTTCCCGGCGGGGCGGGAGGAGGGAGCCAACAGCAGGCCAGGCTGCGAGCACAGGGCTCTAGCCGGCTGGGGAGAGGCGCCCTCCCGCAGCCCTTTCCCCAGGGGCGCCCCGCTCTTACCTTGCGGGAGAGGAGGGAGGTGTCGGAGGACGAGTCCTGGCCCTTCGCCTGCTCCTCCAGCACGATCTGCAGGTCGAAGATGTAGTCGATGACGTGCTGCAGGATTTCCACCTGGCTCAGCTTGCTGCCCTGCGGGATGCCCGGCACCAGCTCGCGCAGCTTGGAGTAGCAATCGTTCATATCGTACAGCAGGCTCATGGGCTCCTCCAGAGCCGGGCTCTTGTTGTGGCTGCCCCGGGCGATGGCCAGGCTCTGGTCCGACAGGCAGCACACCGCTTCGTAGCAGCTCCTGACGGACCGCACCGGGCTGATGGCTTTCATGGTCAGGCTGGGCTGGGGATGCCGGCGTCTCGGGAGCGCAAATCCCCCTCCCCCAGCTGCCTCGCGCTGCCACCCCCGACTGCTCCGTGCGACGCGCTGCTAGCAACTCGGCCCCTCTGGCCTTTTATAAGCCTGCAGGAGCCCCGCCCCTTTCTATGCAAACGAGCCGCGCCGCTTTCCACGCCCCCTCCTTCTCCCTCTGGTGACAGTCGGTGCAAATGTGGGATTGAGCATTTACAAGCTGGTTAAATGGCAAAGCAGGTTTCCATTGGCTTTGGCTGACACCAAAGAGCAGAGGACATGAAAGGAATGAGGAAGCTCTGATTACAAATGGGGCGGGCCTAGCTATCAAACAAACCTTCCCCCTTTCTCCCCCTTTTGTTACTCAAGTAAAACGCTTTAAAATTCAAAGTCTAGTTCCTATTGCCCCTTCCAGAGTTTTTTTTTTTCCAGTCCCCTTTAAATAACAAAAACAAACAAACAAAAAAAAAGCAGCAGCTTTGGATGGAAAAGACAAATCTCGTCTCCGCTTTAAAAGTGCATGTTTGCAAAGCACATTCCCATGATGCAACCCCTAAACCTTCAGAACCCACAAAAGCCATAAATCCCCCAACAGCAGAGAAAAATGTTTTAGTTTTTTTTTTCAGGGGGATCTTGTAAGAAATTAGTGGCGCCTTGTTCCTCAATTTGCTGCTCATATGACCTCCAGACTTTCTGGCGTCAGGAATTATCTTGTGACCAGAAAAAAAATTAATTGCGGTAAAGCTGAGGTTACATGGAGAAAACAGATTTGGGTCAGCAACTCTGACTGTAGAAACATTTTTTTAGGGGGTGGGATTTTATAAATATAAATATATATATATGTTTATTTTATTTGAAACAACAGGAACAGGATAAAAATCCAAGTGTGAATACATTCTACTGGCATAGTTACATCGGTTTAACTAAAAGAAATTTTTTTGGATGAGTGGGTCCAACTTTTGAGGTGCAGACAAGACCCATTTTACTTGGGGCCTTATCTCACCATTATTTGGTCATAAATCCAGAGTAACTCCACTTAGGTCAATGTCAGAGCAGAATCAGGCCCAATAAAACAGTTTTGGTGGAGGAGATGGTATAAAGTTATATTTAATATTTTAACTTGATTTTTAAAATCAGTCTTGAATGGGCCGTGTGCTATAAATTATTGACCTCAAGCCTGGAGATTTTTCCAAGAGCCAGCTTTTTATTTTGGAATGTGTTTTGATTATTTGTGAGTGAAACAAGGAGAGTGGGCAACTGCTTTGGAAATAATACTTTATGGCCCATGACAATGGTGTATGGCATTTGATTTTCCCCCTAGCCTATTACTGGTTTCCTAAATCCCTTGCTTGCTATTTCTGTTAATACTACTTCTTAAACTGTATTATTTCAGGGGCTGTGGGGGAGGCAAGGGCACCTGGAGTAAATTATGCCTGCCCACAAGTACAATTTACTCCAGATCTGCCCAAACCCTAGGTTGTGTGTATGTTTTTCCAAAAAAACAAAACATGCTGTATTTTTTTGGCTTTTCTCTTTTCTGCTTTCACATTTAGCTAGATTTGGAAAAAGCACTTCCCCAATCCCCTTGTGTATACAATGCTAACCATAGTCAATTTCCATGTATTTAAGCAGTCTGTATCTCACAATAAGGGTTTTTATATTTATTTTTATTTAATTTGGGGGCTAGTTTAGTGAAATGGAAAAGCTATGTACATGATTCATTCCTTCAAGACCTAAGATTGCGCATTACTGAATCTTTTAAAAAATAGTTTTTTGGTAACCCCAGTATTTTCTCCTCCTTCTTCCTCCTCCTCTGCCCGTGCCAGTTCTCACTCCTTTGAGAGTAAGGAGACTCCCTAATTTTGGATTCATTTTGAAGCCTTTTAAAGAAACCTCTCTCCTGAGAAAATAATTGAAATGAGATATTTTCAACCCTCACTCCAAACTGTTGGGAAATCTTCATTCAAATGGTGGCAACAGGAGAAGTAACCTGAACTTAATGGGGTATTTTTTTAAATAATCTTTAGCCTATTTTTCAGAATTTGGGTTATTGGCCTGGAATATCCCAAGTGTGTTATTTTTCTAATAATGTTTTTTATTATTTCAATTTTTTGTAGCACTCCTGTACCTCAGAATCAGGCCTTGCACCTACTAAAAGGTGTTTTCCAGCTCTGCCACCCAACTCATCCTTGTGCTTTTTTTCATTACCCCCTGCAACATTCCATCTTTAACCCTATTTTCTTCTTGTTCCACAAACTGAGCGATTGCATTGGAATATCCCCAAGGCTGATTTTTCAAATAACTTTTTTTTATGGCAAAGATTCTCTGTGTGCAACATGTTTGGCTGTTTGGACAGGCAGCCCCGAAGCATCCCTGAACTTTCTGTTCCCACTCTTGCTCTCTACTCCCCCCCACCCCGTCCCCCCAGTCCTCCTTGCATTTTTTATTTTTATGAAAGGATGTCATTAAGGCTTTTGTTTGAACTGTTTTTGTTTAAGAACTTTTCTCACAATCCTATTTTTTGTTGAGGAATCTGCTCCCTTTGCCCAGCTGTGTCCCTCTCCCTCCAGCTGTGTTGATCTAACTCTCAGCTCCAGACAGCCTGGCGCCAGCCTTGTGAACGTCATGCATTCACACAGGGATGCGTGGCCAAGGCAACCTTTCCGCCGCCATAGCCACCGAACTGGAACCGCACAGCCCAGCCAATGAGAGGCCGGGGAGGTGCTTCAGCGTTCGAAGGGGCGTGGCCTCGCTGGGTAGAATATAGAGCCTTGAGTAGCAAAGTTAGCTTAGTTTCTGGGAATGTGCTAACATTTTTGCATAAGGCTGTTTCCTTTTTTTTTTCTCAACTACAATTTGGTGGGGCTGGATCGTTTCTGGCCTTTTCTGGGAACTGATTCCCATTGAAAGCCAAGAATCAGAATCTTATTATCACTCACAATTTAGGCCAGTTGGGGAGTCATGAAGTCAGTTCTTTTGGCTCAACGCAGCGTTCTGTCTCCCCCCCCACACACACACACACATTCCCCCCCGGAAAGCTTTGGAGTGCCACGATTTTTATGTTGAGAATGACCTGTGCAGTGTGTGTTTTATTAATATAAATGGGTGGGTTTAGAACTGTGCTTTTTCCTGAGTGCAAACTTTTAACAACAAGTCCCATAAAGCTCATGATAGTGACTGGTGTCTCAGGCTCTTTTTATTCAGCTGGATTTATTTGTAAAGGGAGAAAGTCAGGGAACAGCATCCCCTCCCAAACGATCTTTTCTCCAATTCTAAACGATCACTTCTCAGCCACACAACAATCCCTTCCTCCACCCTTCCCCATTCCCTTTGACTGGTTAGTTGCTTACATCTATTGCAATTTGCATCAGTTCTGTAACTTTGAGGATTTTTCTGTGGCTTGCTTCTCTAGGAATTTCTCACATAAATGGGTGCCAAATGTGCCCATGAGAAGTTTTGTTAAGATCAAACCTTTAATAAACTGAACAAAATAGGGAGATGTCAGGATAAGAAACAGAGTAAAAGTTCTGGTTCTCATCATGTATTTTGGGGTAGGAGAAAAGAAGGAGACTAGGACTGATGATTGGAAGACTGAGATGGCAGTTGCCTGTAGTCAATGTATCATACTGACCTAACCTCAAGCTGTTAGACACTGGACTTCAGGGGATTTTCTTAGGGCTCCATAATCTTGAGGATTCCTGGCAGCATTGCATGCGTGAAAGTGATTTAGAATAGAAGAGAGGACAGAGATATATGCCCAAGCAAATTACAAGGAAGACAGTTCTTCTCCAGTGGTCATCTGGATTCACTTTCTGAACAAGGGCTGGGCTCAAATCCTGTCCCAAATCTTTTGGGACCGGCATTTCTGTTCCCTTATTCACAATCATAACAAGAAAAAAAACTGGTGAAGCAATCTCACTGGAGCCCTGCTTGAGGAAGGCATTTAAGCACATGCTTAACTTTAAGTTTGTGCTTATATCCAATTTTTTGCTTTTAATTGTTTGTGCTTGTGGGCCTGGGACAAATTTATTAATCAATGGATTTTAAAGCTGGGGGGGGGGGGGGGGTAAGCAGTGGTTTCTTAAATATGCTGTTGAATTCTGTTCTCAATGGATCCCATTTTTCATCTGACCATAGGCAAAACAACTGGCATGCAATATGTCCCAGGGGTGGGGAAAATAACATATGGAGCTAGATTCACATGCAACACTGGTAGGTTTGGCTACATCTACACAAGTAACATTTGGTAATTATGCTCACATGTTAAGGTCCCGATTCATCAAAGCATTTATGCACATGCTTAAGCCCATCCCTATACAGCATAGGGCTTTGGCCCATTGAAATGATTAAAGGTCTAGAGAACATGACCTATGAAGGAAGACTGAAAGAATTGGGCTTGTTTCGTTTGGAAAGGAGAAGACTGAGAGGGGACATGAGAGCGGTTTTCAGGTATCTAAAAGGGTGTCTCAGGGAGGAGGGAGAAAAATTGTTCTCCTTAGCCTCTGAGGATAGGACAAGAAGCAATGGGTTTAAACTGTAGCAAGGGAGATTTAAGTTGGACATCCGGAAAAACTTCCTGTCAGGGTGATTAAACACTGGAATAAGTTGCCTGGGGATGTTGTGGAATCTCCATCCCTGGAGATATTTACAAGCAGGTTAGATAGACATCTCTCAGGGATGGTCTAGATGGTACTGGGTCTGGCCATGAGGGCAGAGGACTGGACTCAATGATCTCTCGAGGTCCCTTCCAGTTCTAGTGTTCTGTGATTCTATGAAATAAATGGGTTTAAAGCACATGCTGTGCTGAATAGTGATGGATTAGTAAATCAGGCCCTAAATGCCAGAAAGCAAATTAGTAGCTGAGCAAGGCACAGAACCCAGGTGATCTGACAGTCAGTCTTGGACTGTTACTGGGCAATGCTACCGGTGTAAATAAGGTATTTGACATCTTTTAGGATATCTGTCACAACAACCTACTGCTTCCTCTAATCATAAGGCGATCTGGAGAAACTAACACTTAAAAAGTCTCGGTCAGCATCAACAGGCCTGTCTTGCACTACTGTATTTTTTAATCAAAATTGCCCTGGGAGCTTT